AACAGATAAGATGATAAAATAAATACAATATTTTAAAGCTTTTCTTTTTTTTTTTTTTTTTTAAAACAACTGCCCAAAAAACCCCCTCCCCCAAATGCATTTGCAGATGAAAAAGAGAACAGCACAGCTGAAAAAATAGATTTTTAATTGCTTTGCGGCTCTATTAGCATTACTTTTGCATGTTTGTAGCTGTACACAGCTCTACATCGACATTTACAAAACTAGATGAACAGATAAGATGATAAAATAAATACAATATTTTAAAGCTTTTCTTTTTTTTTTTTTTTTTTAAAAACAGCTGCCAAAAAGACACCTACCCCCAAATGCCCTCAAACCCAGCATTCTGTTGAAAAGCATCGTTTTCCATTATGTTTTGGTCTATTCTGTTTCCCCTCCAATTTGTAACATTCTGCTGGAAACAGTGATGAAGAACATATGTCTGCGGTAAATTACACCCAGGAGAAATCCTGGAACCGTTACATTCAGTTTTATTACTCAAGGCATTAAGATAGTCCACCACAGCACGTATTATTTAACAGTTCCATCAAACACAACACCACTAATATACGTTTATATTATTATGCATGCAAAAAAATCATATCATATTTCTTAAATCTCATTGGGTGATTAACATGTTGCAGTTTCGTTTTAACTAACAGTTCCAGAATATTTTTAGGGCTTCAGTGAAACAAGGTGTTACATAAATACAGAATGTTATCGTACAAATATTTTGGAAAACATATGTTCAGGCAACAATAAGGTTGAGAAGCCTAACACTCAACAGCCAGGAAATTGCGAGTGCTTACACTTCTTTCACAATATAAGCTTACGCAAGTGCTGCATCTTAACATATTCTGCAGAGGGCTGTAATCATCTAGGCTACATCAGGGAAATCCAGTGTGGGCAACTGGATGGATAGACTAACATCTCCAAGAATCCCTTTCTTTTCCACTGCTGCAAATACTAATCCAGTTTCACTAGGTAACACCAAAAACCAGACACAGCATAAATACCCCCTGTGCACTGATGAGCTGCATCTTTTGGGGGAGGTTTGCACTAGTTCTGCGAGGCGGTCACATCACGGGAGACTTCCTACAGGCATAGACTCAGGGAAGCATAAGTAAGTTTACATTTAACAAGTTTAACAGGAATAAAAGACACCTCGTACAAACCCGGCTATTACTTCGACTGATGACTTGACCTCAAAAGTCAAGTTTTCTAAAGTTTTACAAGGGCTTTGCGTTTTATTTCTCAAGTGACTCCGTGGGAACAACAAATAAAAACCAACAAAAATGTATAGCTGTCAAGATTGCACACCTTCCACGCTTTGCAGAGAAGAGGAAAGCAAAAGGCTTAGGCAGCAGTTCAGAGCAACAGCTGAGATACGGCTTTTAATTTCAGCTTAAATCAATCAAACAGCCTTAGTACCGTGTTTGGTCCAAACTAAACCCAAAACACCAGGCACCAACTGTATCGGGAAGCAGAGCCCAAACTCCTCTCTGTTCAAAGAAATGTAATCACTAATACCTGAAAATGTAATTTAATGCTTTTCTTCTTCAGATCCCAAAATGAGTCACACAAAGCTGAGAGTGCCAGTCCACTTCATGAACTGCAAACTGAGACCCAGAGAAAATAACTTGCTGAATATCATATAAAGTCTCACTTACTTTATTAGTACTTATTCACCATGTGTAAGAATAACTGAAGCTATATTTTTCTGTTTCTCTGTGGTGTTCAGTCCACACACGGAATGCAGCCATGGCTCACAGAAAATACACTATATAATCACGAAATCGAAGACTGTGCTACAATGCACACGGGAGTCAAATGATGGTTGCACGGGAAACTGAGTTACTGGCATTTCTCAACTTTGAAGTGCTTGGCTTTGCAGTCTACATAGTGTTACTTCTGTATGCCTCTTTAAAGGCAACTATGAATTTTGCTGTCTGTTGCTACAACCAAAACTCTCCAATTGTGCATCGCTAGCAGGGTTTGAAACTTAAACGTGCAGCTCTGCAGGTTAAGCTCCTTAGTTAGAGCAGATTTACTGCAGAATGGATATTGAATATTCAGGAACTCGGGTCCCACATGGGAACCTGGAGGAGAGGAGTGAGCCAGCAGGCACTGTTTTGAATCTACCCAGTAACTGGCTTACTTTTTTCCCCTGACATGTCCAATTTAACATTCTTCCTGTCATTTACCTTGATGGAAAACTCAAAATAAAAGACCGTGAACATTTTGCTTTGTTCTGATCACGAATGCAAAATTCCAAGAATTACTGAAATTGATTTTAGTCTAATTAACTTTTGTGGCCATTTAAGAGCAGAAACGGTTTGCTCTTGTTTCTGACAGAGTAAAATGAGGGCAGAACGCTGTAGGTCTGGACCACAGCCTGTCCAGACCTGTGGCTCTTGCTAACTTGCAGAGCTGGGCTGACCTTATAAAAACAGGCGAACCTGTACCTGCTCAAAGGAATAGCTGGTCTGTAGTTCACAGCGTGTTCCGCTGGAAGCAGAAGATGTCTCAGCATTATATCCGCTATTGTACCGTAAGGGGAAACAGGCACTGCCATCTATTCCCCAACTTTCAGCCCTGCTACAAAGAAAGTACTCTGCTGTGCCTTTAAAAGAAAGCTTGCAGGTGCTCGTACTGTTTTGACTTGCTTTGCCTCTCAAGCAGCGAGCAAGGTACCCAAGATTCAGAGGGAAGCAGGATGTAGAACACAGGCCTGGCAAAACACAGGTCAAGGAAGAGTAGGTCTAAGGCTGCCCATGTTTTCTCAGTCTTCCCAATTCAACTGTACTGCAAATATAGCAAATTACAAATTCAGCAAATTCCACTAATGCTGAGAAAGCAATCTGTTGGATGAATAAAGGCTTGAAAACTACCTAAGGGGCATTCCTAGAAATTCCGTTTTATACTTTCCTCCCATGACAATCCTTATTTTTGGTCATGACAATAAGTTTTAATATTTTTTTCCCTCTTTTATGACTAAGTCAAAAGAACTGTCGTTCTAAATATAATGTGAAAACAAAGAATGCCAATGAACCAAAAAAGTATGCAAGAAAGGGGAAATACTATCACATACTTGTGCAGAAAGCACAAACATGGTTGTGCTAAACAGACAGACACAGAAATAGAAGGATGCAAGGACTCTGGCTTTGTGTTATGCAATTAACTTCATAACATAATAATGATGTGCTTGGTCTAAAACTACCTGTACTGGGTCTGGCTGGGAGGGAGTTAACTTTCTTCATAGCAGCTTGTACGGTGCTGTGTTTTGGATTTGTGGCTAAACTCGCCTTGATAACACACGAATGCTTTGGCTGCTGCTGAACAGTGCTTGCACAGTGTCAAGGCCTTCTCTTTTTCATAGTCAGATGGCCCACATTACAGAGCGAATACTTATGCCTAAGGAGATGAATGCTGTACTTCAGACAGCCACCATGCTTCTCTTAGGCCGCCCACTATGTAAAAAGACAGAAGTAATTTTATTTCATAAACTGAAGAATCTTTGTACTGAAACATTCATTAACCTGTCCATCTGCCCAGAAGTTGAGAGCAAACACCCAGATATTCACTTTTAGTCAGGAAACATGCACACTGGAAATCAAGCATAGATGTATATTCGTAGAAACTACAGAATTATTGACAGGTTACGGAACATAATTTTGATCTCCATCTGTCCTTGCAACTACATAACCTGAGAGCACAGAGAGCAACAAGGGAAGCATCTATGTACGCAGGGGTACTCAACTGAAGTTGTAGAGACTTCAAATCTTCCCATGCTTACATTAGGCACAATGAAGGGAAACTCATAAAACTGTGATCTAAAACACTGTCAATCACAGGAGAAAAGGCAAAATATGAAAATGGAGGTTTAGAAATGACTGCACCGTATCCAGTAGAAGACACCACTGAAATTGTGAGGGAAGCACCATATAGTGGGCAAGGTGTGCAGTACATATTGAAAAACAGGAGAGCAGAAGTCTACAAGAAGCGTGGAACACTGCAGGCACCATGGCCACAGGTATTAACATAACAGCACAGTGCAAATATGACTGAACATGCCTATTTCTAGAGTAAGAGTCTTTTAACCATTAAACTATTTTACACTCAAAGCAACAGCAGACTGGTCAGACCACATCAGTATTTTGAAGCAGAAGCATCCACAGGGAATAATACCAGAATAAACAACAGCAGGATTACTCCCCTGCGCTTGAGACTCCCCACTTAGGCCCATTCTTAGTAAAGGCTTTCAACTGTAAGCTCCTCACAACATTTTGATTTATGTTCATATGCTCCCTACCTCAAAGGTGACCTGGTCAACGACCTGCTCTCTATTAGTAAATATTGAGAAAAGTGACAGCAGGAAGCAAGATCCCTTCTGCTGTTCAGATATGCCACCCTCGAGCCATAGCTTATTCATTTTAATGAATGTTTTTTAACAATTATTTTTTTCTAAAATGTGACACTGGCGGCAAGAGGTTAGGGCTTTTCTACTCTATGAGTGCTCATCTAAAAAAAGGCTTAGCATGCTATTTTTAAAGGCTAATGTTCATGTCGTTTCAGCAAAAAGCTCAATGTTGGTTTTAGACACATTTCTTGTTTTATGCCAGACAGGCCAGCTCCTCATATTCACAAAGCAACTGTGGTTCACTGAACATGTTTTCAGGATTAATTTTGACTTCCCAGGGTCAACTTCACACTGATCAATGAAAGAAATTGTGGAAAAGATTACCTTACGAAAACACACAAACTTAGCCAACCTTTAACAAAAAGAACAACTTGAAGAGCTTTCATCAGACTCAGCACTATTCAAGGACAGCCTGTCAGCATTTGGCATATATGAACATGGGAGATGGAACAAATCTACAGGAAATCCTTGTGCTTACTCACGTACCCTCATCACCACAGACGAGCCAAGCTGCTTTTATATGTTTCTCCCAGTTCTCGCGTTCACAGCCATCCAATTTCTCACCACACAAGCAGAATCTTACCTGTTATTTTCTGCAGCACAGGAGATGGCTGTGGCTCATCACAAATGGCCTTGACTAGGGCCTTTTTCACCTCTTCTTCAGCTGTGTCCAGCTCTTTTCCACTTTTGATTTCTCCAACCACAGAATACATGTATACCAGCAAGACGAGGAAGTCCTCGCAGGTATAATCATCTTTCATCCTCTCATTGTAAGACTTGATCATTGGCAATAACTGGTTCAAAACACTGGGCATTTCTGTCTCGCCAATAGTCTGAAAAACAGAAGGAAGATCATGTCAGATTGATGCCATAGTGCTTATCAGACATCAGATATACTCTTGCCTGCATCTGCAAGTTATTATTTCTCATCATAGCAGTGCTCATTTAATGAAACATGGTTCAATATTTGCATTCTTATTTGTCAGCACATTGTCCTGTGATTTATTTGCTGCTCAGATAGCAAATTTATTAGTTTCCTACAAGTTTTTTCCTAGGCACTCATGATAGCAGCCTTCTAACACTTGAAAAGCTTGATGATTAGATCTTTTCCATGTACCAGTAATATGAGAGGATGGGAGCATCAGTCTTGGCAGTATGGGTAAAAATGGTACAAAACACAAGGTCAAACACTTCCTCTAAATTCTGGTCCTCCTCCTCGGGCCTGATTTTGTACTTGAGCAGGGAGTTCAAAGCCCAGCTCCCATTGACTTCAATTGCTATTGCGAGCTCTCAGCACATCTGCAAACCTGACCCTATGCTTTCAGGTCAGAAACCCAGAAAATTAGAAACAGAGAGAACCACCTGTGAAGTGTGTGGTTTAAGTGACCGGCGTGGTTTCCTAGAGGAGCTGTACAACAGGGGCAAGGACAGGGCAGCAATCACCTGCCTGGCACGTGCCCTGACCCTCTTGTCCCTCTGCCTCCTTCACAGCACACTCGCCAGCTTCTCAAGCCATGTAACAGGGGTCTTCCACACTGAAAAAGCCTTCTTTGCTAGGCAGGTCAGGCTCTTTCCCACAGCTCATCCATGCCACGAGGTAAGGCAAAGACCACGTGGAAGTGGGGAGAACTATGTGACTGTGAGGCTGAAAGACGATCATAATATGTATATGAGGAGGGGAAGGCTGGCAGAGAAAAGGAGAGGGAAACCGAGAGTATGCTGGGATGTCCTAGGTCCTCAGTACTGAAATCGCACTTGTGTCTTCTCATCTCTGTGGCAGAGGTGTCCGTACAGCTTTCCTGTGGTTGTAAAAAGGAGACTTCAGACATGAACCCTGTGAAGTGCCACGCTGACATCCGCACCATGTTAACACCAGGGCTGGGGATTAGATCCACCATGCGGGTCCCTGCCACTCAGGACAGCGGAGTGACTAATCGTAGCGGCAAACTGCCACCCTCCCTGCACACACACACCTGCACGTGAAATCTCCACACACTAGTTTTGTGCTGTGGGTTAGTCTGCAGCTCAGCAGTGGGATCAAGCGAGAAGCGGGGCCAGTGCAAGGCAAGCAGGGGGAGCACGCCGCTTCTGCGCGGGGAGGGAGGTGCGGGAGGAGAGGAGCACGGCCTTCCCCACTTGACGGTGGTGATCAGTCGGATCCATCCAAGAGGTCTCCTGCAACGCCACCCTCAGTACCCTGCCCCTTGCCCTGTGATTCCCAAACAGCCCCCTGTGAAAACCTGTGGGTCAGTCCACAGTGTGCACTGAAACACTGAATCTCCTACAGTCCAATGAGTCAAGCCTGCAAACATTTATTCTTGGTTGTTACTACAGTAACTTCAAACAGACTAGTCATGGTAAATAGGCATCACAGCCAATAAGATACCCTAGATTCAGAATACGTAAATAAAATACAAAACAAACACACCAGAAAGAGACACAGGTTTATACAACAAAATCATGCAATTACGTTTATCACTGCTTTTAACTGTGTTAATTTAGTTCTGAGCTCTTCTGACAACTGAGTAGTTTTTTCTGAAACCTGAGCAGGGATTTCAGAGTCTAACTTTAGTAACACAGAAACTGTAAGTTTCATCTCCCTGCGTCCTCCGTACAACACTTCAGGGGGTCCTGGCTTTGGTTTTATTTTGTTTTAGTTGTTCTTTGACAATCTCGGAAACACTAACAAGCATCTGATGAACTGTAATTTTTATACCTACACGAATCCACTACAGATCGTGCTCATAAAGCAAGCATGAATTTTTCAAGCTCTCAAGAAACCTTTTTCCAGCCTGTGCTATAGGAAACAACACTTCTGTGGACTTTGGGCCCCACCCTGCTCCTGACATACCAGTTTTGCCATGGACCCATCTTTCAAGGGATTTTAATGTGGTCAGATGTTATGTTCCTATTCGAATACATACCTTAGGGAAGAATTTTCTAACTACTCACATGCTAAACCTAACAGTAAGTGCACACTGTGGACTTCAAGCAGTAAATTGCAAAGCTACAGTGGTCAAAAGCATTTGGGAGCCAAAAAGGAACATTTAGAAATCTGGGAGGGGCTGGCACCCTGTGTGTGTTTGGGCAGGGAGCGTTAAATCACATGGACAGCAAGTCCCAGGCGCTGCTCCGCTTGGGAAGCAAGTCTACGGTGTCTGGCGCCGGTCTGGCACACGCTGGCAGCTGGGCCGCCCTCGAGACAAGGCAGTCAGTTCCCAAATTTCTACTGAGCCCTGCCTCAGTTCAGTATTACCTGCTCTTTTCTTGAAAAGTGACACAAACAAATTCTCATCTGTACGCCAGTACAACAAATATCAGATCATCTGGATCCTAACATGGAAAAAGACAAAACTTCAAGGAATTCCGAGGTATGCAGCTACCGGGAGGAAGCCACGGGCAACAAACAAAAGCCTCATCATTCCTAAAAATCTAAGAACTGAAGATTAACCTACGTGTGGAGTTACTCTGGAACAGATGACAAACTTCAGTCTACATTAATCTGAATTCACTTTTAAGGAGAGGCAAGCCCTATGCCACATATTATTGAACATCATCTGTCATCTACTGGTACATCATCTATTCCCCCCTCCCCTCCCAACATGCAAACTCTCTACTTCACCCCATCTCTAAATATCTCATAGCATGCTCCTACAACATCAAAGATGAGGTCTTGAAAAGGCTCTATTTTGCATGCACAAATTATCCAAATGCATGGAGCACTGAGGATGCACAAGGTCATATAAAAGAGTAGGGTCAACAGCTCCTGCTTGAGGATAGTAGCTCCTGACAGTACACGTGTACAGCATCTCTGGCAAACTTCCAAACATACATGACTAAAAAAATTTGGTCTAAACTTTCAGGATGATTTACCGAAGGGCGGGCTAAAACTCAACAACTTAAAGCAACAATTGCCACCTCTTATCTTCAAAGTAAAAATGAAGGAGAAAAAAAAAAAATTAAAGAGCTATAATAAACCGTTAACTTCAGAACGCACATAGGGTCTTTCTAGGGTATGAACTTCTCTGGAATGTTTTTCCCTTATCTCTTGGGAAATGGCACTACAGAGGACTTCAAATGCAACTGCCAAGTTTCAGAGGCTATTTTGTCCAAACAGGCCAGTTGGACTGGAGTGTGCATGAAAAAAAAAAAGGGACTCGCAGCCTCACTGCAGAGCACGACTCCACAGGGAGCTGGGAAATTTGCCTCAAACAAAATCCACTTGGCAGATTGTCATTATCTGGCCACCTCCGATGATTTAGGGGCTCCCTGCACCGCCTACCAATCAATCAATTACCCTGATTGAACAACCCTAAAACACAAGTTTTAAAAATGTAACTACCCATGACCCAAATTTCCTGCTGGTTATGTTGGCCTCAGGTTAGCCCCATTTGTCTATCATCAAGGGAGCCAATAAAAATAATAAAACCAGGTCAATTCTGAGCTTTCTAAAGGCTGTATAAAAACATTAACGCTGCTTAATGCAGAGCCAGCTAAGGCCCAAGCTCTAACGCCTTCTTGCTCAGTTGCATTGTTTGGACATTTTAACGCTATAATCATATATTCTTCAGAATCCAGGAAGAGTTTGTGATAGATTTTTACTGTTTTCCATCTCTTTCCTCCACCCTCCTTAGTTATTTATTTTTATAACTTAAGCTGTGTAATAATTTACTGTCCCTAAGGGTAAATGAACTGACGTCAATTTGCTGATTTTTGCAAAAGGCCCGAGTTTTGGCAGATGAGACGATAGTGAAGACAGTACAAAAATCATTTTTTCAGTTTTTAAACACTGAACATGATATTGTGCTTCAAAAGTGACATTTAAAATGTGATTTAAAGGATCTACAGGAATTAAGAGGAAATGTAATAAACCCAAGAAAAAACGTTTTGCATTTCTGTGAAAGGCATTATTTTCAGTATTAAATAAACCTGCAAGAATCTAAAGCCATATGTATCATTAGACAACTTTTACACAATAGACAACAGAGTGTGCTGGGGAGGAAGAGAAGAGGAGGGTCAGAGTTTACTTGAATTAACACGTGTCCTTGACAAAATTGAGAAGAGAACCGAGCACTCTAATCCCTGCGCTTCCAGCCCACTGTCCTCAACACATCATTAAAAATATTAAAGCAAAAATCAACTTCAAGCAAGTGGAATTTATTTTCTTTTAAAATCCAGGAGGAAGAAGGAGATAAATCTTAAGAGACTACTTCACTATGTAAATATTCTAGCGGCTTTCCGTTTAGGAAGCAAAACATGTTTAATTCCTTCAGAGGTCGCATGAGTTAACAGAACATTTTTGGAATGGGAACCACACAGCTTTACAACAGCAAGGAATTTTACTGGGGAAAAACAAAACTAAAAAACAACCCCAAAACCCAGCTGCAGGTAAAATCAGCAGAAGGATCAGTGGAAACTCACAAGCCCTTGGTTCATTTGCTGCCCCGTGCTCCTGGGCTGCCCTATTTAATAGAAGCTCCTTTTATTGATAACTTAGGTGGGAAAAGAGGCTCATGAGTTGTGGGATAAGCAGCTTTCCAACGTTGCTCTATCTGATTTGTCGTGTTTACCCGGGTTTGACATTTTGTGTTTCATGACTTTGCCACACAGCGTAGTAGCTTTCCCACTATCTAGATGAAGGCAGAATATTCTAGCTGCTAAAAGTGACAATGGTACCAAGGGAGGACCTAATGCGTATACAAACCCAGCTCAGATCCTTCAACAGCAACAGATCTCTGCAGCAGTAATCATCTTAGCAAAAATGAGAGACACTGCCAAGCTAAGGAGGAGTCTTAGCTGCCTGCAGTGCTCAGCTGCCCATAAATCAAATGCT